CACTGGATTGCACTTTACAATTCAACACATTGCACATTATTATCTAGTATATTGCACAATGAAATAATAATTAATTTGAATAATAGTTTGTGTCTGTATGTACATTAAAAACAAAAAAAACAAAAAAATCAAAAATATCAACGAGCTGCAAAATACAAAATAATTTTCATTCGTTAGTTCGGTTGAACCGTCTGGCCAAAATGTTAAAATTAAAATAATCGAGTCGAACTTTTAGAAAAGTTAAATCAAAATAGAAGTACTTGGTTTATTCGGGCAGTTAGCCAAATTAATAAAAAAATATATGAATTAAATTATACGTTATGTGATAAGAAAAATACCGTTTAAAACATTAATAATTTTATTTATTATTTTTATATAACTTTTTGCTGAAAAAATTTAAGTTGGGTTAGTTTCGATCTCCGATAGTCATGATAAAGTGCAACGTGCTGTTTTGTAAAGTGCAGCTTGTTATTTTATAAAGTGCAACGCGTTGGTGTATAAAGTGAACTGATGTAATTTTGGTATTGCTTGTTTTTGTTGTGGATAAATGATGTGATTAATGTTAAAGTATAAGGTATATCTGTTTTTTATATTTATGTTGTTGTGGTATTTTCGCATGAGTTGTTGACGTTAATCGTGGAGTGTGTTGATAAAGTGCAACGTGTTGTGATATAAGGTGCAAAGAGTTGTTTTATAAAGTGCAACGTGCTGCTATATAAAGTGTTGATATATAAAGTGCACTATTTTATATTATTTATTTATTCAATAGTTTATCTATTATTTTACTATTACATTATTTTAATACTTTATATTATTTTTATTTAATATTTTATTTATTATTCAATATGTATGTATAAAAAATATAATAAATAACATTTTTTTATGTTAATAAAAATTGATAGTTGCACTTTAATGTTCAATGCATTACACAGTATCACATTCGAAATTGCACTTTAAAGGTAAAAATAAATAATCGAACCGACAAATAAATTTTGACCCAAAATCTTAGTTAGCTCGGTTTTAATTGGTACGGTGCAATCTGACAGACATTGATGTGCAATTCGTCTAATGCTAGAGTGCACTCGAAGTTCATATATATTATTTATAATTAATACGCATTTATTAGATTTTCTATAAACTACAAATTTGGCACATGAACCAAATTGAAATATAATAAAAATCATGAAATTACATTTAGCCCCCTGAAATTTACTTAATTCTCAAACAAATGCCATAATCCCAAAATCATCTTCCTCTATCCCCACCACTCCACCATTGACGTTCAACCTTCTCTGGCTACGACATTAGGCGTCAAATGTGTTCTGCAACCTTTGTTCTTCGCCCAGTACGTGAGTTAAATCACCTCAGGTATGTTGATTTTTTTTTTTTTTTTTT